GAATAACTTCTAAACGTGCTACTGGTGCATAAGTTTCTTCAAAATTAATACCTTCTTCTTGATTGTAGCCTTTAGCTACGAGCCTAGCTTTGTTTCTAGTGATTATTACGTTTTTTGTCAAGTTTGTTACAGAACATCCATTTCATACCAATATTTGTCCGATCATCGGGCCTTGGCACAAATTCCCAAACGTCTTTACGTTTGAATTGGTTAAGCTCTTCTTGCATTCCCAATGTCTAATGTTCATCTATTACTTCCAAAATGTTTGTAGGTTCACCGATTACCTTGTCCAGTGGATGGTTATTGTTAGTTCTCCATGCTGTGGGTAGCTCGGTTTCCTTTTCTTCTTCCTCTTCTTGAGGTGTTTATTTGGATTGAGGTATTCCTCCACTTAGGGCTGTTCCTCGATTTGATTATTTGAATTCGGTGAAGTATATGCATTCTCATCTTCTTCGTTGTCTTGGATATGTATTCTCTCTAGTGAATATGCAAGGTCATTACAAATATCGTTTCTCCCCAAGCGAGTATTATTCTAGGAAAACACAACATCAAGAGATTCCTCTATGGTGACTAAAACATTTGCAACCAAAGACTCGAAGATGGGAAAGGTTTGGCTTTCTCCCTTTGTATAGTTCATAAAGCGTTTTCTTGAGTATCGGTCTGATGACGTCTTGTATTAATACGTAGCTCGCGGTACTCACGGCATCCGCCCAAAAATACTTTGGGATTTTTGCTTCATTGATCATAGTTCTAGGTATCTCTTTGGGACATCTATTTTTACGTTTCACCACTCCGTTTTGCTGCGGTTTACGTGGGGCTAAGAAGTTATGATCAATGCCCAATTCATCACAGAAATCAAAAAACACATTTCATTCGAACTCTCCCCCATGAGCTCTTCGAATGGATACAATAGTGGATTCTTTTTCATTTTGAACTTTCTTAAGAAAACTTTTGAAACTGAAATGCCTCACTCTTATGAGTTAGAAACAACGTCCATGTGAACTTAGAGTAGTTATTAACAATTACAAAGGCGAAATAGTTTCCACCAAAACGTTTTGTTTTAGAAGGACCAAAGAGATCCATGTGCAAAAGTTGAAGCAGCCTAGACATTGTGACAACGTTTTTTATTTGAACGAGGCCCTAACTTGCTTCCCCTTTTGGTGTGCATCACATATGGAATGTTTTTCAAACTTAAGTTTTGGAATACCAATTACTTAGTGTTGCGAGACCAGTTTTTTCAAAAGGTACATGTTCATATGAGCTACCCTTCGGTGCTCTAGCCACGTGTCTTCCTCTTTACTCATAAGGCATTTCCCAAAGTTTGATGGGGAGTTATCTAAGTTAACATGTAAATGTTATCGATTCTATCACCATGTATGCCACTAAGGCATTCCACTGTGCATAACTTTGAATCGAAGATGACACGATTTCCCTTGTCACACAATTGATCGACTTACGCTCAAGAGTTTGTGCTTAAGACCCTTAACTAGTAAAACATTAGCAATAAAGGAGGTTTCGTTTTTACCAAGCGAAACAATGCCAATAATTTTTCCTTTGTTTTTTTTGAAAACATTTTTCCTTTGTTATTATCACCAAAAAACGACATTGCTTCATTTAGCAGGTCTTATTTGCAAAAACTCTGACGCATCTTTGGTCATGTGCTAGTAGCATCCGTTTTCAAGGTACCAAATTACACTTGATGCCCTCAAGCAAATCAAATCAATGAGATTTAGGTAGCCAAGCCATTTTGGATCCTTGAGTGTTAGGTGCATGGTGGTAGTGTGATTGATTTTGTGTGAAGTGTTTATGCCTAGTGAAGCAAGATGGAGCAATATGTCCTATCCTATTATAGTAATGGAAAACTACATTAGGATTATGCATTCTCCTAGGTTGATAGTAGTTGCTAGGGGGCCTAAACCAATTTATCCTAGTTTAAGAAAAGTTTGGTTTATGCAAATTTTCAAAAGCTTCTCTTCTAGGTGTTCTAAAATTGTTTCTTCTATTTTGAGAAAAGTTAATTTTGTGGAATTTTTTTGATAGGTGTTTTTAGGTGGTCTACTATGTTCATTGCCTTTCTTAGGTTTTGTTCTAGGTTGTCTAGTGTTCCTAGTGTTCCTAGGTTCTCTATTATTCCGATTTTTATTCTTCTAGGTTGAGCTTTAGGTTGTTTAGGTTGAGGCTCAACTTTTTCCTTGTTATTTTCCTTCTTTTCATAACCTATCCCTTCTATAGTGAACTACATGGAATCAAGAAAGAGACTAAGATCTTTATTTGGCGTATTAAACTTCTTCACCATATTTTCAAGTTTAGAAACTTGATCCTTTAAAGTTTTGCAAGATTCACATGCGTTTGTTGAACTTTCGAGTTTATCGGCACTTCTTTTTCTTAAAAAAATTGTTTTCTTCTTTGGGTTTTTCATTTTATTTTGTCAATTTTTCAAAATCATTTTCATGTATGGAAAGTAAAGAGCGTATATAAAGACACACCAAATTTTATACCCGGTTCACCATAACTTGTGGCTAATCCAGTCCAACAAGAGACTCTCGTGAAGGTCCTACTAACTCTGTTAAGCTTACGGGTTCTTAAAAAATTGGTAGAAACTTAAGAACTCGAGTCACACTGGTGAAGAATTTTGGTTTAACTCAAAATTCCCATAGTAGTAAAGGGAACAGACTAGACCTTTAAAAGATCAGTTTATCCTGTGTCGTCTCAAGGATCGGCCCAAGGGAAAGTTTAGCAAGACTAGCTAGACAAGGTTTACTCGTTGAATTGAAAAGTTTTCAATAAGTCGAATAAGGAATGGAGATTGAATTTTACCTTTCAGGAATAAAGAGTAGGGATGTAATTATTGGTGAGGTGATGATTCTTTTTAGAGTAAAATCACCAGTTACTTTTATTTTAAATCTTTTTACTAGTAAGTAAGTATCTTTTCAAATACTTACTTAACAATCAATCCAATGTCTAAAGATCAATTATCAAATTACTGGGCTTGACTTAATTAAATTCCAGATTTCTCAAGAAATATAATTTTCAAGAATAGATTTGCCTTCTCTCGATTTACAAATCTCAAGTATAAATTCTCAGTAATAAAAACTAGTAATTTCCCTTGACAATAATATAAT